GAACAGAGAGAGAGAGAGAGAGAGGGAAAAATGAACTAGATTTAAAGGATTTTGCAGTTCATTTTTCTCATGATGGTGTAGAGGAGAGAAAGGGTGGAGAGAGAGAGAGAGAGAGAGAGAGAGAGAGAGAGAGAGAGAGAGAGAGAGAGAGAGAGAGAGAGAGAGAGAGAGAGAGAGAGAGAGAGGAGAGAGAGAGAGAGAAAGGAAAATGTAAAGTGAGGAAGACAGACAGAGAAAAGACACAGATAGAAAGACGACAGACCGAGAAACAGAGACAGAAATACCAAGAGACGAGAGACAAGAAGACAGACACAGACACACAGCACAGACAAAAACAGATAGAAAGACAAAGAGCCCGAGAGACAAAACAGAGACCAGAGACACAGAGACCAGAGGCAGACAGACCGAGAGACAACAGAGACCAGACAGACACATATAGAAAGACAGACAGAGAACAAGAGGCCGGGGAGAAAGCCGAGAGACACAGAGACAGAGAGCCACAGAGACAGACAGACACATATAGAAAGACCAAGAGATACGAGAGACACAGACAGAGACAGAAGACCAAGAGACAGAGACAACACGCAGACCGAGAGACCCGAGACACAGAGAGACCGAGGACGAGAAGGCCCCTCCATGTCAGCCCTCTCATAACAGAGCGAGATAGCCCCCCCCAGCCCAATGAGCGAGTTGGAGTAATAAACACAAATGATCAATTAAATTCTTTGCCAATGATGAATTTGGCCGCCTCGGAATGACCGGCTGCCGGCAACACCATACGGAACTAACGAATGTACGTACATTTATCATCATAAAAGGATACGTTGACCATATGCAGAATCAAGACAAAACAGAGACCACGTAACACACACACACACAATGCACACACAGACATACACACACACACACACACACACACACAGCACACACACACACACACACCACACACAACACAACACATACATACATACATACATACACACACACACACACACGCACACACACACACCACACACATACACACATACACACACACACACACACACACACACACACACACACACACACACTTACTCACACGCACACACACACACATACATACACACACCACACACACATGCAACACGCACATACATAAACACATAACCACATAAAAGGAAACGCACACACATACACGCACATGCACACGCACACATAACACATAACCACACAAACGTACACGCACATAGGTCACACACACATGTACGCGCACCATACACAGCACATAACCACATAAACTACACGCACATACACACACACACACAATGCACGCGCACATACATAGCACATAACCAGTTGAACGTACACACACACACACATGTGCGTGCATACCCATAAGCGCATAACCACATGAACGTACACGCACACATACACAAACACACCAACATGCGCGCGCACACACATCTCATAAACGTACACGCACATATACACACACATGCGCGCGCACACACATAACCTCATAAACGTACACGCACATATACACACACATGCGCACGCACACACACAGGCACATAACCACGTACACGTACACAGACACGCACACAAGTAAAAGCGTACACAAAGGCACTTGCATTCTTTCTCTCTCTCTTTTCTTTTTTCTTTTCTCTCTCCTTCTCACTTTTTCCCTCCTTCTTTTTTTCTTCTTTTCCCTTCTTCTTCTCAATTTCCTCCTTTTCTTTATTTTTTTCTTTTTTTCTCTTGCTTTCTTCTCACTTCTCTTTCCCTCTCTTTCTTTTTTTTCTTTTCCCTTTCCTTTATTCTCACCTTTTTTCCCTCCTTCTACTTCTTTTTCTTCTTTTCTCTTTCCTTCTTCTCACTTTTTCCGCTCTTTTCTTCTTTTTTTTCTCTTTCCTTTTACTAACTTTTTCCCCTCTTTTCCTTCTTTTTTCTTTCTTTTTTTCTTTCCTTTTTCCTTTTCTTCTTTTCTCTTTCCTTCTTCTCACTTATTTCCCCTTTTTTCTTCCCCTTTCTCTTTCCTTCTTCTCACTTTTATCCTCTCCTCCTTCTTTTCTTCCTTTTTCGCATTTTTAAACACAAAGCAGGGAAGTGACACAAGCCCCGGGCAGGATGTTTACAAGACGCGACGTAACACACACACACACACGCCCCCGCCCCCCCCCCACCTCGCCTCCGTCTTTTAAATATTGTTCAGGAAACGTTTGGACTGAGGACGAACGTTTAAATATTGTTCAGGAAACGTTTGGACTGAGGACGAACTTTTAAATATTGTTCAGGAAACGTTTGGACTGAGGACGAAACTTTTAAATATTGTTCAGGAAACGTTTGACTGAGGAAAACTTTTAAATATTGTTCAGGAACGTTTGGACAGAGGACAAACTTTTAAATATTGTTCAGGAAACGTTTTTGAGGACGAACTTTTAAATATTGTTCAGGAAACGTTTGGACAGAGGACGAACTTTTAAATATTGTTCAGGAAACGTTTGGACTGAGGACGAACTTTTAAATATTGTTCAGGAAACGTTTGGACTGAGGACGAACTTTAAATATTGTTCAGGACGTTTGGACTGAGGACGAACTTTAATTGTTCAGGAAACGTTTGGACAGAGGACGAACTTTTAAATATTGTTCAGGAACGTTTGGACAGAGGACGTTGTTCAGGAAACGTTTGGACAGAGGACGAACTTTTAAAATATTGTTCAGGAAACGTTTGGAGAGGACGAAACGTTTAAATATTGTTCAGGAAACGTTTGGACTGAGGACGAACTTTCAACAATCGTGGTCGAAACGTTTACGGTTATGGATGGATATAGACGATGCAGTTAGGAGAGATATAGAGGGGAGGGAGGGGGGTGGGGTGTGGAGGGTAGAGGGGTTGGGTTAGAGGGGGGGTAGAGGATGGGGGTGAGGGGGTGAGGGGAGGGAGGGTGGGGTGAGGGGTTAGAAGGGGGAGAGAGGGGAGTAGATAGATAGATAGATAGAGATAGATAGAGAGAGAGAAGAGGAGAGAGAGAGAAAGAGAGAGAGAGAGAAGAGAGGGGGAGAGAGGGAGAGAGAGAGGAGAGAGAGAGAGAAGAGAGAGAGAGAGAGAGAGAAAGAGAGAGAGAGAGAGAGAGAGAGAGAGAGAGAGAGAGAAGATAGATAGATAGGAGAGAGGAGAGAGAGAGGAGAAGAGAGAAGAGAGAGAGAGAGAGAGAGAGAGAGAGAGGAGAGAATGAGAGGAATTGGGAGAGGGAGAGAGAGCTAAGAGAGAAAAATATGAGGAAAGAGAGAAGAGAGAGGGAAAAGAGAAATAAAAAAGGAAAGGGACAGACAGACAGGCAGACATACAAATCAATACACAGATAGGAAGAAAAAAACAGGTTGATAATTAGTAAATTAAATCTTTACGAAAAAAAGAAAATGTTAATCAGATATGTTGATGTTTCTCTCAAAGCTTTCACTAAGTTGAAACCAGCCGGACATTATAAATTCATTAGCGTAAGTACTCTCATGTGAGAGATAATCCTATTCCGATAGAATTAATCTAACACACACACACACAACACACACACACACCACACACACACACAACACACAACACACACACACACATACACACACACAACACCATACACAACACATTCACATATATATACACACCACGTTCTCTCTTCTTTCTCGTTCTCTGTCCTCTCTCCTCTCTCTCTATCTTCTCTCATCTCTTCTCCTCTCTCTGCTCCCTCTTTCTCCTCTCTCCCTCCTCTCCCTCTCTCCCTCCCTCCTCCCCCACCACCAACCCACCCACCCTCCCTCCTTCCCTCCCTCCCTCTCCTCCCCCATCCCTCCCTCCNTTCTTTCTCTCTACTCTCTCTCTCCTCTCTCTTCTCTCTCTCTCTCTCTCTCTCTCTCTCTCTCTCTCTCTCTCTCTTCTCTCTCTCTCTCTCTCTCTCTCTCCATCCTCCCCTTCATCCCTCCCTTCTCATCCCTTCCTTCCCCCTCCCTCTTCCTCCTTCCCTTTCCCTCCCCTCTTCCGTCCCCTCCCCCTCCTCCTTCTCTCCCTCCCCCCTCCCCCATTGGTCGCCCTCCTTATCTCTTTCGGCTTCGTATTTAAACATCATACGTCAGTTGCTCTTGTATTTGGTTTAATTACCTTCAGTGTCATTTAAGGTGTCTGCTTGGCAAGGAGAGAGAGCAACATGATAATAACGATAAAAAAAAACATGCACAACGGGAGGTAGGGGTGGGGGAGGGGGGCTTTGGAGGGAGGGGGGGAGTTGTTGATCTTATCTGCATGCATATAGTGATAGAAGGACTTGGGTTTGTATGTTCTCTTTCTCTTTCTTTTTTTTTTTTTTTTTTTTTTTTTTTTTGCTCTTTCTGTTGTCTCGTTTTCTCTGTCTCTGTCTCTCTTTCTCTGTCTCTGTCTCTTGTCTTTGTCTTTCTCTCTGTCGCTGTATCTCTCTGTCTTTTCTCTCTTGTCTCTGTCTCTCTCTGTCTCTGTCTCTCTCTGTCTCTTCTATCTCTGTCTCTGTCTCTGTCTCTGTCTCTGTCTCTGTCTTGTCTCTCTGTCTGTCTGTCTGTCTGTCTGTCTGTCTCTCTCTCTCTCTCTCTCTCTCTCTCTCTCTCTCTCTCTCTCTCTCTCTCTCTCTCTTCTCTCTCTCTCTCTCTCTCTCTCTCTCCGTCTCACCCCTCTCTCCGTCACCCGCGCTCCTAAATCCCAATGATCTATAATTGATCTTGATAAACCAAAGCCAAAGTAAATAAACAAGAATAAATATTCTCTCTCCTCCCTCCCCTCCTCCTCTCTCCCTCTCCTCCCTCCTCCTCCCTCTCTCCCACCATCCCCCTCCCTCCCTTCCCTCCCCTCCCTCCACCCTCCCCTCCCTCCCTCTCCCTCTCCCCCTCCCCTCCCTCCCTCCCTCCTCACCCCCTCTTTTACGTATCGTAAATTCGACAGCGAAGAATAGCGGAACCATCGACTCTTGTCTGTAAATTACGTTTTGTTTACGAGTTCGCCAAACCCCGGCGTGGGTAGTGGGCGTGGTGGGTCGGGTGCTGTTTGCTGTCTCGTCTGCCGTGGCGCTGGGGTGCTGCTGGCAGTGGTGGGGGCTTGGGGTGGGTGGGGCTGGAGTGGTGGTGGCAATGGCGGGGCTGGGGTGGGGGCAATGGTGTGGGGCTGGGGTGGTTGGGCAATGGTGGGGGCTGGAGTGGTGGTGGCAATGGTGGGGCTGGGGTGGTCGTGGTGCTGCGACAGAGGCTTCCGTTGGTGGGTTGTTGTTGCTGGAGTAGGTGCTTCTGTTGATGATGTTACTGTTGTTGTTGCCTGTTCCTGTTGTGTTTGCTGCTGGAGTAGGTGCTTCTGTTGGTGATTTTGCTGTTGCTGTTGTTGTCGTTCTTTTTGTTGTTATTATTGTTGTTCCTGAAGCAAATGTTTCCGCTGGTGATTTTATTTCCGTTGTTGATTCTGAGAGAGGAGTTGCCGTTGGTGCCTCTCAGTTGTTGCTGTGACAGATGCTTCCTGTTGGTGATTTTGTTGGATGTTGTTGATTCTGCAACAGGAGCATTGCTGATTGTTTCTTTTGGTAATCTGTTGTTGCTGTTAATATTCAGTTGTTGCCGATTATGCAACAGGAATTTCTCTTGGTAACTCTGCTGTTGTTGAATTTGTAAGAGTTATGATGGTAATTATGGTTATGGTAGTAACAACAACAATCATTATCATTATTGTTATTATCATTATCATCATCATAATTATTATAAAAGAGAGAGAGAGAGAGAACAGAAACAGAAACAGAGACCGACAAATGAACAAACCAACAAAAACAAAATCATAAAAAAACACAACGAAAAAAATCCCAAATAAACAAACACGAAGAAAAAAATAAATAAACACACAACAACACACACACACACACACACAACAAACACGAAAAAAAAATCAACACAACACACACAACAAACACGAAAAAAATCACACGCACACACAAAACAGAAAAGAAAACACTTCAGAATCAATGAACAACAAGCCGAACAAGGCTACAAGCGAACCCCCTCGTTATAAAGGTTCCCTGCTTACAGCGACCAACCACAAGGCTGGCGAATGAAATACCATCGTACAAGTCTACACCAAAGGTAATGTAATGGTGATGATGATAATGATGATAGTAGTAATAGTAATAATGATGATAACAATAACGATAATAATGATATTGATGATGATAATGATGACAATTTAATGATAGTATCAATATCATTATCATTATTAATGTTAATATTTTCGGTATTGTTATTATCATTATCATTTATAATTACTGTTGTTAATTATATTCACTATCATTGCTGTTACTATCATATCATTATTATCATTCATTATCTTATTGTTATTTATCATCATTATTTTATTTTTATTATTATCATTATCATTACTATTATTATTACTATTGTGGCTTATTATTATATTGCATCATCATTATTAGCACTATTATAATCACCAAAATCATCATTATTATTTAAGATCATTGTTGTTATTGATATCGCTTTTATTACTATTGATATTATCTTTATTATTATCATTATCATTATTATCCGTTTATATCATTGATGATATTATTGTTATTATCATTATCATCATTATTACCATTATTATGATTATCATTGTCATTATTATTATATTATCAATATTATTATTTTCCTTATTATTATCATTATCATTATCATTATTATCATCATTCATTATTATTATCCTTATTATTATTGTTATTATCTTATCATTATTATTATTATTATTATCATAACTATCATTATCATTTAGCATTAGCATCTTTTGCTATAATTGTTATGATTATTATTATCATCATCTTTCTTGTTATTACTCATTATTATTTCATTATTATTGTTGTTGTTTTTATTATCATTATCATTGTTATTATTGGTAGTAGTTTCTATTGATGTTGTCTTTATTATCATTATTCTACTCATTATTATTTGTTTATCATTATTATTATTATTATTATCATCATCATTATTATTGTTGTTGTTGTTGTTGCTTTTGTTGTTATTGATATCATCATTACAATTATCATTGTTGTTGTGGCTGATGTTGTTATGATCATTCTTGTTACCATTACCATAATAATAGCCAAAAATAACAATAACTCCAGCATAATCATCATAATTACCATAACAATTATTAATAATATTGTTATTGCCATTATCACGCTTAATGATATTACCATTATCAAAATAATAATAATTCCAACACTGGCACGATTCCCAAGGCCAACAACACACAACCAACAACTCAAATAAAAGCCATGCAGGCGGGAAGAATATCTTTCCTCAGTCATGCAACATGCGACGGCAGTTCACTCGAATCATCATGATAAGTCTCGCTTTTGACGTCATAAGCGAGATCTTTTTTTTCTTTCTTTCTTTTTTTCTTTTACTAACATTTTTTTCTTTCTTTTTTTTTAAAGAATGAGAAGGATTTTTTTCTTTCTTTTCTTTCTTTTACTAACTTTTTTTTTTTCTTTTTTTTAAGAATGAGAGGGATTTTTTTTCTTTCTTTCTTTTAAACATTTTTTTCTTTTTTTTTTTAATGAGAGGGATTTTTTTTCTTTCTTTCTTTTACTAACATTTTTTTTTACTTTTTTTTTTAAGAATGAGAAGGATTTTTTTTTTCTTTTTTTAACGGGGAAGGTTGTGATTGGGAGATAATGAATGAATAAATATATGAAGAAATTGAATAATAGATAGACAGATGGACAGATAGATATATTAATAAATATTTATTCCATCATCTGATATTACTATCGTTATTTTCATAATTATCATCATCATTGTTACCAGTAGTACTTGTAGTATCATTGTTAATGTTACTAATATGAGAGGGATAGGGAGAGAAGGAGAGGAACAGGGAGAAGGAGAGGGAAAGGGAGAAGGAGATGGAGAGAGAGAGAGACAGAGACAGACAGAAGACAGAGAGAGAGAGAGAGAGAGAGAGAGAGAGAGAGAGAGAGACAGACAGACAGACAGACAGACAGACACAGACAGAGAAGACAGAGAAAGAGAGAGAGAAAAAAAAGAGAAAGAGAGAGAAAGAAATGACAATTGACGACGAGGAATTAAATCCCACATACAGCAGATCACCACCATTTTATTTCGTCGGATTTATTGGTCAGGTAGGAAGAGAGACTGGTGGCTCTCCCTCCCTCCCTCCCTTCCTGCCCTCTCCCTCCCCTCCCTTCTTCCCTCCCCCCCCTATGGCAACTCCAACCCCCCCTTCCCTTCCTACCTCTCTCCCTTCCCTCCCTCCCTCCTCCCCCCCCCTTGCCCCTATGGCAACCCCAACCCCCCTCCCTCCCTTCCTACCTCTCTCCCTCCCTCCCTCCCTCCTTCCCCCCTTAGCCCTCCCCCTATGGCAATACCCCACCATCCCAACTCCCTTCTCTCGTTCTTTCCATTCCCTCTCTCCTTCACCATCCTGTTCTTCCATCCCTTCCCTCCTCTCCTTTTCTTTCCCTTCTCTCCCTTTCCTCCCTTCCTTTCATTCTCCCTTCTTTCTTCCCTTCACTTTCCCTCACTTCCTTTTCTCTTCCTTCCCTCCCTTCCTTTCTCTCTGCTCCCATCACTTCCCGCTTCTCCTTCCCTCTTCCCTCTTTATCTTCTTCCCCTTTCCCCTTTTCCCTTCCCTTTCCCCTCTCTATTCTCCCCTCCCTCTCCCTCCCTTCCGTCTTGATACTCCTCTCCCTTCCCTTCCCCTCTTTTTGCCCTATTCCCTTCTTTTCTCCATTTTCTTTCCTACCCTTCTCTACCCCTTCCCCTCCCTCTTCCTTTCCCTTCCTCTCGCTTTCTCTTCCCCTCGTTCCTCCCTACTCTTCTCTTCCCCTCCCTTCCCCTCCCTACCCTCCCTTCTTCCTTCCTCTCTCCCTTCCCTCCCACCCTTCCTTCCCCTCCCTTCCTCTCTCCCTTTCCTCCCTACCCTTCTCTTCATTTCTCTTCCCCTCCCTTCCTTCCCTACCCTTCTCCTCCCCTCCCTTCCTCTCTCCCTTTCCTCTCCACACTCCCCTCTGTGCACCGAGTTCAGCGCACACCACACACCCAGTAGAGCCGTCTGATCACACGCACACACGCACGCACGCACACGCGGATCAATATGGGTTCCCTGGATGAGAGGGGATCTCGCCCCCTCCCCCCCTCCTCCCTCTTTTTTATCTGTGAGAGGGGGAAAGAGAGAGAGAGAGAGGAAGAGGAAGAGGAGGAGGAAGGTGAGAGACGGGGAGAGGGAGAGGGGAAAAAGGGAGGGGAGGAGAGGAAGAGAGAGAGGGAGGAAGGGAGGGAGAGAGAGAGAGGAAGAGGAGGAGGAAGGTGAGAGACGGGAGAGGGAGAGAAGCGAGGAAGGGAGGGAAGGAGAGAAGAGAGAGGGAGGAAGGGAGGAGAAGAGAGGGAAATGCAGAGAAAGGAGAAAGAAGAAGGGAAGACGAAGGAGAGAGATAGGGTAGAGAAAGGAGGAAGGTGAGAGACGGGGAGACAGAGGGGGAAGAAGCGAGGAAGGAAGGAAGGAGATAGAGAGAGGATATACAGAGAAAGGGAGAAAGAAGGAAGGGAAGAGAAAGGAGAGAGATGGAAAATAGACATTATTATTATTTAAAAGAAGAAGAGACATAACTATATTAATTTAATTATATAAATAATCATATTACTCTCATAAAGAGGGAATAGAAGGAGAGACAGAGATAACGGCATGGAGAAGGAGAAAGGGACAGATGAATAAACAAAGAGAAGAATAAGAAAGAGAGATAAATTGGGTAGAGGAAAGAGAGAAAGAGAGCGAGATGAGAAGGGAGAGAAGAGACAAAGGGACGAAAGAGACAAGATGGGGAGAAAGAGAGACACGAGGAAATTAGAGTAAAAGAGAAAGAAAAAGAGAAAGAGAAAAGATAGAAGAGGAATAAGGAAAAAAATACACAGTAATAGAACGAATCGCAGAGAAATCCTGTTCAACAAAGACATTAAACGTTTTATATTGAATATTTGTCTCTTTGTTGTGTTTCAAAACTCTATTGTATCGTAGTTTAATGTTTACTTATTTACATCATTATCGTATCGTATTTTAGTCCCCTGTTGTATTTTTGTATCTTAGGTTAATGTTCCATTGTATTTCACTACCATGTTGTTTCGTATTTTAGTCCCCTGTTGTATTTTTGTATCTTAGTTTAATGTTCTATTGTATTTCACTGCCCTATTGTATCGTATTTTAGTTCCCTGTTGTATTTTATAGCATACTGTAGTGTGATCTATTTCAACTTAGTACCACATTCTATCTTAGCTCTGAATCATTACATAATGTTATATTATTTGATAAGATTGCTTTGTATTTCACTATTGTATCTTAGTTTCATGTTCTATTGTATTTCGTTTTCTTATTGTACTGAATTTTAGTTCCTTTTTGTATTTTATAGCATACTGTAGTGTGATCTATTTCATCGTTGTACTAGATTTTATCTTATCAATGAATTGTATTTTTTATATCATTGCATAAAGTTATATTATATGTAAAGATTGCTCTTTTACTATTGTATTGTATCGTACACTAATATATGTTTTTTCTGTATATTGTTCATTGTCTATCTGTCAGTCTACCATTCCTTGTC